GTTTCCAGGGAAAGGCGGCGGCGTGGCCCGGGGCCGGGCTCCGGGGGGGCCCGCGGTTGTGCAGACTGGACTGAATGGGTCTGGGCGTGTTAGGCACCGGAGAGGCCCCCGCTCTCGGGCTTGGAGCCCCCGTCGGGCCGCGGCGGAGGCATGCGGTTCCTCTGGGGCTCCGGGGCCCCGCTCCTGTGGCCTGGGGACGGCACCGGGAACCGCCCCGGGCCGCTGGGGGGTGAGAACGGCTTGGCAGACGTGGCTCTTGCTCCTGGTGGCAAAATCGGGGGGCGGCTTCCTCCGGAATCTGAAGAACAAGGGGGGGGGGCAAATTCAGTTAGACGATTAGGAGCCTTAAAAGAAACCAGGACCTAGAGTAGATTCCCAGCAACTGGACATCATTTCCTAGATGCTACAAGATACAGGTAACTGCTATTTAAATCGGGTTTTGTGTGGCCTTTCCTGGAGGAAGAGGAACAGATCACAGCTCTCCCATTACCTTCCGGCCTGAGGTCCTACAGCCGGGCAGCTAGCTCTCCACAGGACTTTGGGGAGACCCCTGCGTTATGTGTGGGCAGGAACCGAGAGGAAGCTGCCAGGAGCTCTGGAGAGACCCTCTTCCTCACAGAGGACAAGAACAGGACAGTGTGGCGCATGGCACTTCTGCTCATGATTTTCTTTTCTCCCCATCACCATCCCTGCCTCCTTGCCCTGGTACTTCTTAGGCTTAAAAAAATAGCTTAGCCATTTAAGGTGAAGAAATTAGTTATCTCAGTATAAATCTTCATATGAGAAGGGTTACCTAGACTCTTTGAAGAGAAACTCCCAAGAGAAGGTAGAAAAATAGAATGGGAAAGTTATGATAGAAATAAGAAGGAACTAAGAAAAAAAAACTGTCAAAGTTTAATTGAAAAAGTTAATACCAGTGAATGGTCTTAATCTGCAAAGAAGTAAACAGCTATACAACTTTTTTCCTACTGGGTCAATTCCACTTCAATATCGGCAGGACAGGAAAACCCTATTACACAATTAATATTAAACTAGTTCAACAAAGAGAAGAACTAAAGGGGAACCAAGGTTATAGAAAAATTCAAACCACCACCCCAGAATCAAAAATTGGTTAGCCTGAAAACTTCTACCAGTACAGCCAAGTGATGCACTAAATATTTGCTGAGCACCTGCTGTATGGCAGCCATTACTCTAGATGCTAGAGACAGAGGAGTAAGCAAAATAGAAAAGATCCTCTCTTTTATAGTTTACATACTTTTTGGGGAGATAGACAACAGACCAGCAAACACAAAAATGTTCTCAGAAAATTACAAGTACTAAAAAGAAACTAAACAGGCCGATGAGATGGAGTGCCTGGGGATGCTGGGATAGCTGGGGAGCTCTTCTCAGGATGTGACGCTTGAGCTGAGTCCAGCCATGGAGAGATGCAGCTAGCACGGTAGGCAGTGGACTAGCAGGTACAAAGACCCCGAGAGGGGAATGAACTTCAAATGAAAAACTGAAAACCAAGGCCTGTGTGCCTGGCACACAGTGAGCATGGAGGAAAGAGAACCCTAGGAAATGGAGTCTGAGTGCCATCAGGAGCCTGGTCAGGAAGAGCCTCGTAGGCCAAAAAGAGTTCAGATTTTGTGCAAGCACAGTGACAGACATTGGGAGGGATTTATACAGCGGAGTAATGCGAACTCTAGAATTTTGTTTCAACTTTAGTACTAAAAGAAGATGGAGTGTCCTTGACTGTGTGGTATATTTTTATGTCGCCAACTTGTAATAAGTTATATCTTCCAAGTTCAGATTAAAGCTGCAGCTACTATATTACATGGATAGGATCCATTACATGGATAGTATACTATGAATATATATACTTCTGGTATACCCTTTTATGGACAAACTTAAATTCCACCTTCATTTTATTATTTTACTTCCAGTTGTCTCTTGCCTTAATTTCTTCACCTTAAAAAAAAAGTACTAAATGTATGCATTTATCAGCTACCTAAAATCCTTATGGTCGGTTTTAAATAAATTTCAATTTCAATGCAGGTCTGGCAAGATAGACTCTCTCATATTATTGAGTCTCTTTCTAGAGTTTGCCATCCAGTGCTAAAATAGTCACTGAGGATTCAGTGACTTTATCTTCAGACCAATGTGGGAATTTCATACTTTCCCCAGTGGACGTTTTAAAAGTTCACAAAATTAGAGATAAAACTCTTCTAACAGTAAACATGAAAAAGAAAGCTTTATGATATGATTTCTTGAGCTCCTGCCATGGTCAGGAGAGCGCCTCGTGCTCTGTGAGGTTTTCACTTGGGCTCGGCCAGGTTCAGCTCCCCCTCTGCCAGCGGGTCCACACACAATCCTGAAGGACTCATTTCCCTGGCTCCCTGCAGGGAAGACTTAGACTCACTGGCCCTGAAACGCCAAATGTCTGTCAGCAAAACACCTTTTCAGACTTGGTGAGATATGTAATTATGTTCCGTATGACACGCTCCATAGTGTGTGTGAAATGTGGCTCACAAGTATTTACTATGCTAGACAGCTGGGTCAGGCTGCCTCACAAAGAAAGCGGAATTTGCCAGGTCACTGGGCAGTTTCCAGGGCGGCAAGTTCCATTTGTTCCTTTCTTTTCTTCCCACTCTAGCTCACCCTTTAGAAAAGTACAAAAAAGTACAAGTTACCCCAAGGACACGTCTGATACCGATTTAATTTAAAAAAGATGCTCCACAGAGTCTCTCTTCTAAGTTAACATTTCAAGGAATCTAGAATGTTTTAAAGGGTGCGGTGCCTTAGCGGGGATGCCAAGCCTCCAAACCACCAAACCCTGGTCTTCAGTGACCGAGAGAGAAGAAAATACTTTACCATTGTCCCTGTTGGCCGTGGATCTCAGCTTGGGCATTCCGGCCTGGAACAGTCCCCCCAAACCGGGCGGTCCACCCCCTCCAAAGCTTCCGCCACCGCTGCCGCCACCTCCGCTGCCACCTCCTCCGCCAAATCCGCCGCCTCCACCAAAGCCACCGCCGCCACCAGCTCCGGCTCCTTTAGGTTCTGCAGAGGAAGAAAACACAATCTCTACACAGATCTGGAAGCACTACCAGTCTCCTTCACCAGTCCTGGACCAATTACACAGTAACAATAAAACCTGGGCCTATGGTAGACAACTGGAATCTGATTAAAAAGCAGGATTGTAAGGATTTACCCGACCCTCATCAGAAAAGGAGGGGTTCCTTCCACTCCTGGGCAGTCACAGGCCTGGTGAAAGAATGGGTGATAGATGGTGACTGGCCCCAGGCCTCCCATTTGGCTAGCTGCCATATGAATTAATATCTATTTGGCAAATAAAAGGATCTTCAAATAAATAAAGTCTCAAGGGAGGGGGAGATGCAATAAAAAGGTGAGAAAAAAGGAAATTGTAAAAATAAAAAGAATAAAAGAAAATATTTCATAATTTCACTACTTGGAAATACCTAGTGTTTTGGTATATTCCCCCCCCCTTCCCCCTGCCAGTATCTTTTCATTTTTATTATTTTTTTCTTAAAATTAAGACCAACATTCACTGGACAGTTTTTAGCCTGCTTTTTTTGCTTAACACTTTATTGTTAGCATTTCCCATGTCATTAAATATTCTTTAAAAAGATGAATTTAAAGGACTGAATTGTGTTTTAGAACATGATTGATTGTATTGTAGTTTATTTAACTATCTACTTATTTGATGGTCTTTTAGGTTGATTTCAATTTTTTAGTATCATTAAGCCCAATGGTAGGCTTCCACATTTAAAAATTCTTTGCAATTTGAGACAGTGCAAATATTTTATTTTGTATTTATTTTCAAAAAATAGTGAAAGCTTTTGAAATGGGCAAACAAATGAAGAAGAAAAAGATTACTAAGTCTAGCCTTCTGTGTTATTTCCCATTGTCTTTGAGCTATTTTACAACTCTAAACTGTAGAACAATAATACAAATAATATTAGTCCATAGAAATGCAAATTGGTGTGTTCAGTGGAAGGCAACTGATATTGATCCATTTTTCACCTATTTGTAAATTAATTTCAGCACCTATCTGCCTATCTCCTTTGAACTGATACCATCATATTGATAACATCACCTCTCATTACTTAACAAGCAAAATAAAATTGTCTCTTATGTATGACCTGATTAGTGTGACTCAGTGGCTGAGCATCAACCTATGGACCAGAAGGTCACGGTTCGATTCCTGGTTGGGGCACATGCCTGGGTTTCGGGCTCAATCCCCAATGGGGGGCATGCAGGAGGCAGCCAATCAATGATTCTCTCTCATCATTGATATTTCTCTGTCTCTCTTCCTCTCCCTTCCTCTCTGAAATTAATTAAAAAAATAATTTATGTATGTATGTTTTATGAGGTTAAGCATTGTTTAAAGTTCTACCCTAAAACCATGGTGAGTCTTTGATGAGTATTATATGAGATTTACAAAATAATCCGGGAGGCCAGACAGAAACACGGTTTATTTTCTGTGTCTACTGATTTATCCAGTAAAGTTTTGTAATTTTCTTTTCTTTTTTTTTTTTTGGTGCCCTTGACCGGAATCGAACCTGGGACCCTTCAGTCTGCAGGCTGACGCTCTATCCATTGAGCCAAACCGGTTAGGGCTGTAATTTTCTTGATATGAGTCACACAGGCTTCTTGTTAGGGTTACTTCAAATACATTTTTGTTTGTTAAAATTATAAAATTGTTTTTCCTACTAATATTTGTGATTGGTCATTATTGGCATCATGAAATTTCATTTGATATCTATAAAAAACTTTGTTCTTTTTAAATTAAAATTTACCCAAAAATTATCTTGGATTTTCTAGTAGACAAATGGTTTGCAAATAATAAAGGTTTTCCCCCTTCTTTTCTAACAGTTGTGTATCTTATCTTATTTCTGTTTTATATAAGTAATAACTTTGATGACTGAACTTCCATAACAATGTAAATTATTAATGTTGCTAAAGGTAAACATTTTGATTTTAATGAGAATGCCTCTAATGTTTCAAAGTTATATGGTTTTTCTTATTTGATATGATGCATTTATAGATTTTCTAACATTAAAAATGAGGTAAGCCCTGATGTTGATGAATTATTCTTTTACTATACATATTGAATTAGATTTTTTGTTGTGTGTTTTTTCCATTAGTACCCTCTCATCTATGATCATAAGTGGTCCATCTATAATAGTGTTTCTTACCCTTGGAACAACTGACATTTTGGTCTGGTAATTCTTTCTTGTGGATGGTTGTCTTGTTCTCTGTAGAACATTTACAGCATCCCTGACCTATACCCACTAGATGTCAGTAGGAACTCCTCCCTCACCAAGTTGTGACAACTAAAAATGCCTCCAGACATTGCCACAGGTCCACTGGAACACTAATATATAGTTTTCTTTTTGTTTATATGCTGCCTTTGTCAAATTGTGATATTAGGATCATGCCAGTCTCATTACACCTATCAGAGGGCTTTCATCTCTTCCTGCATTTGGGAGTGGATAATTTATACAGCATTGAATTAGCTATCACTTAAAATCTGAAATAATTTATTGATAAAAATCATCTGGCTCTAAAGTTTTTTAGCGGGAAAATAATTGATAATGCTTTCAACTTTTTCCTTGCTCACTGAGGCTTCATGAGTAAGTTTTAGTAAATTTATGTTTTTCTTAGAACATAAATTTAAGATTTCTAAATGACTTAGCATATAACTTCATCATAGCATCCTTGATTTAAAAAAAAATCTGCTTTGAATCTCTTAATTATCTGCTTCCTGAGTTCTAGTTTTATTCATTTGTGTTTTCTTTTTTATGGAATAGTTTTAGCATGTCTTTGTTGGCTCTGTAGCAATAATATTGTCAATCTATATATATAAAAGCCTAAGCAACTGTTATGACCGGATGTCCAGCCAGTAGCTATGATGCGCACTGACCACCAGGGGGCAGATGCTCAATGCAGGAGCTGCCCCCTGGTGGTCAGTACGCTCCCACAGCCAACCTCCCGCGGTCCCTCCCCACAGCAGGCCCCGATTGAGACTAGGCGAGATGGCCCCGATCAGCCAGGAGGGACCGGACTGTGCACTAATTCATGCACTGGGACTCTAGTAATATTAATAATGCCCTTGTCATTCAAATAGTATTCATTAATGAATGATACAATTTGGAATATTACATTTACATAGGACACCTTTAAATGGTATTAAACATTCAAAGAGATCAATGCACTATCAGATACCATCCATTAGTGTATCTTTCTGTAGAGAAGCTAAAGCAGTTGAAGATAGCTAACTGGCACAGGTCACTTTGTTATAGTAATTAAACTGCAGGACTTTAAGAGTTATAACATGCATAACCATGATTACATTTTGATATGGAGCCCAGGGAGGTTTCACCTGCAAAAAAAATTCAAAACCATAGATGGACTTTGTCACTTGCAAAGAGCTTGTGACAATAGTCTTGGTGGCCAAGTAATTGCAAGGATAACAAGGGCATGCATTGGGCTGTATTTTGTGTCCACCAAGCAAAGTGAGCAGCTGGGAGGAAGAACTAACATTTATTTCCATTTAATGGGAGGATAAGTGGAGCTTATAGAATATAATGAGTTTTCACTAGTGGATTCAGGACTAGGTCCTAGACTGTCCAGTCTCCAACATCTGGGGAACTCACATCCACCTCTCTGGAGCCTAGCCTCCCACTCATGGTGGAGAGAACCACTGGGCTCTGTCCTAGAGGTTGGCCTCTGGCCCCATACCAGGCATCATGACTTGATGGTTGTTGGACCAAGGCTCCCCTTATATAAGTGACTGTGCTGGGATTCCCCTTGGGAGAATCTTATAACATGGATCAGGAGAACTAAGGGACTGATTATACATTAACCACATCAGTTTTGATCTGGAGGTAAAACTGTATCAAGAGTCAAAGACCTCACAGTTCCTTTTGGGGGTTATGGTACATTCTTATTTGCACCACCTTGCCGGGTAATAGAACAACATTCAAAAGCCTTTGTCTTGGTTTTCCTCTTTGCCATTTACCTCCTACACCAGTGGTCTCATCTAATTCTCCTTCTCCTTCTCTTATTAGGCACCTTTCCTAGAAATTCCTCCTAAGCCCTTCTTATCCTTCACTTGGCTAAAATCCTGCATCATTATTTACTTGTCTATTTTCTATTGAGTCCAAATGGGCTCTGTGGTCTAGTATGAATTCAGGAGACATCTGGCTGGCAGTGGAAACATGTAGGAATGTGAGGAGATAGTTTCAAGGCCTGATTAGTAACTATCCATAGGTTCTAGTCATGTATAATTTTGCATTTTGTTGTAAATGTTAATAAGCAGCCCTGTGTGGTGGGTACTTGTTTGTGTATACACACCCTGCCTTGTTCCAGAAAATATCTCAGACTTACAATGGGTATATAAGCAAAGTTGTGATCTCATTTCCTCTTTCTCCAAGCTCCTAACATCATATCTTACACTTGACTTTCACATTGCAGGCAACAAAACACTTTACAGCATTGTCTCATTTATGTTCGCAATGAACTTGCGAGGGCAGTAGGCTTGGAGAAGGTAAGTGGTGGATGTGTCAGGACTTGAACCCGTATCCTTTGATTCCAAGGATAGGGTTCTTTCCCTGTTTCATGCTGCCTTTTGATCTGTGGTGCAAGGAGCAAAGAGTTAATTTCCAGAAAGTGTTTGAATAATTCAGAGAATTGCTGCTGTGTGTGTCTTAAACAAAGAATTATTATACTGGCTTCCTGCAGCATTAGAGGGAACCCAAGCCGAAGCCGTGGCCTACAATGAGTGACACAGTCCCTTATTCTGCTAGCTTTGCAGCTGTTGTTAACCAAAAAAATTTTTTTTGGTGGGAAGGGTAGGGTTGAGTGTTACGCCATAAACCACTTCTCTCTATGGAAAAGAACTTCCTTCACTTACTGTCCAGTATCGGGGCACTTCTGTCATTGGTGACGGTCTTCTTTAGTTTCTTCCCTTTGTTGATGTCGGAGAGCAGAGCATTTCTCCCAGCCAGCTCTGACCTATTCAAGGCAGGCTTTTCTGTATTGGCCTGAAAGGAAACCATGCAAACTCGTATTCATCTCTTGAATTAAAATCAAGTGCTACAACCCTCAGTGGAGACAGCTAGCATGTTGGGAGCTTGGGATTGAGGTTGCTGGCAATAGGTTGTAAATTCTCCACAAGTTTTTGACCCGGTGTCATTCTTTTTATGACCCAGACATTTGGGAGCAGATGCAGAAATCAATTACATTTATTTTTAATGCAGGTAGAGTCAGTTCCCGATAAAAGTCTCTGAAAATTCAGACCATTGTCTGGCTGTTACCGGCAATGCCCGGGTTGATGGCTAGAAATGAGAAGGGAACTTGAATCTGGAAGATTCTACAGGATGCTACAAGGAAGAAGAGCTTCTCTTTTGTATCTTTTGGAACTAACTGGTACAAGGAGAAAACTGCTCCTAGCAGAACAGGTCACCTGTATTATTTTTTAACCCACCAAAGTTTGAGAAAAACAATTCCTTCTGTTTACATTGCCAAAGTTCCCCCCCCCTTCTTTTTAAGAGAGACTTGAGGTATAATTTGCATATAGTAACAGCACCCTTTAAATGTATAGTCCTGTGAGTTTTGACAAACATATACAATCACCTCGCTTGTAGCCACCACCACAAGCAAAGTGTGTAACATTTCCATTAACTCAAAACTACCTCATGTCCCTTTGGCCTAAGGTGTTTCTTTGAAAGCTTAGCTCACAGAGATTGCAGAGCCAACAAAAGTGCTGCTTTAAAATATTTGAGTATTTCCTATTCTTTCAGAATTCCTGGGAGAGATCCTTACTATGAAGTTGGGCTCTTGTTTATCCAGGATTATTGTAGGGAGTGGGGACTCTAAGAGCCCAGCATACGAACTTGGAAGTTGGCATGTGCCTGTGTCTGTCACACTTGGAAACTGGTTTGGTCTGGCCTGGTCCCAGGGAGAGGCCATCTGGCAGACCCGGGAGGCCCTCTCGGCTGGCCCACCCCTTCAGGAAGGATCTGATCTTGGAGGTGCCAGTGAGGACCATGGCAGGTAAACCTGGGAGGTTTAGCTTGATGCTAAACCATTGTACCTAGTTTTATTACAGAGCAGTCAGAGCCGAGGGGAGCTAAGAAAAACCTCAAGTTGGCTACATAGAATCTCTGTGTGTTAAGCGGCAAGGTCTTGACATTGTTCATGATAATAACATCGCTTGACTATGGGTCAGGCACTGTTTCAGCACTTCATGTGTATTAATCCATTTAGCCCTCAAAAAAGGGGGAGTCAGTAGGTCCACTCTAGAGACAAGGAAACTTGGCGCAGGCAGGTTAGCTCATTCGCCCTGGTCACCCAGCTGGTAAGAGCAGGAGCGAGGATCAAACCCTGGTAGTCTGGATGCAGAGCCTTCCCTATAATCTGTTGGAAGGATAAGTGTGGGTCTAAAATGTCCCTTCCCCGAATTGGGGAGCTGCTGTTGAAGGGCACAGACTTGCATCTGGAAGATGAAGTTCTGGAGATCTAATGCCCAGGACAGTAATTACAGTCAACAATGCTGCATTATAATCAGGCTAAGAGGCAAGATTTTAAATGTTCTCACCACAAAGAAGAAAAGATAATTATGTGATGTGATGGAGGTGTTAGCTAAAGCGACAGAGCTAATTGTAATATATATATGTGTGTCAAACCAACATGTACAGCGTAAACTTATACAACATTATGCCTAAACCGGTTTGGCTCAGTGGATAGAGCGTCGGCCTGCAGACTGAAAGGTCCCAGGTTCGATTCCGGTCAAGGGCATGTACCTGGGTTGCGGGCACATCCCCAGTGGGAGATGTGCAGGAGGCAGCTAATCAATGTTTCTAACTCTCTATAAAAAAATCAATAAAATATATTTTTTAAAAAAACTTACACAACATTATGTGTCAAATATATATCAATTGAAAAAATTAATAAATAAAGTTTTCCAAATTTTAGTCATTCTGGTACAGCCTTCATGATTTTGGTCATCTTCTCATGCTACTTGTTATTTATTTTATATTTCTATTAAGTCTATGCACTATATAATTTACTACTTTTCAGTGAGCATTTTATTTTAAAGTAAATCCCTATTAAACTCTGGGTGTTCTAGTTATAATTTTTAGAGCATGTATTAAGATAAACACATGAACATTGAAATAAAACAAAAATTAAAGTATGTACTGCCCAGCAGTGGTATACAACCTACATTTTTGGGGAAATATAAACTAATCCTGTGATATTAGATCAGAGCTTTTCAAACTTATCTAAGTAAAAGACCAATTTTTAAGAAAAAATTTCTAATCTATCATGGACTGATATTTTTGTAAAATAACAGTAAATTAGTAAAAAAAAGACACAAAAAATGCAATCTTAAAAACAACAGGCAGTTCAGCCGGTGTGGCCCAGTGGTTGAGCATCTGTCCACACACCAAGAGTTTGCCAGTTTGATTCCCAGTCAGGGCACATGCCTCGCTTGTGGCCTCAATCCCCAGGAGGGAGCCCATTGATGTTTCTCTTTCAGCGATATTTCTATCTCTCTCTCCTTCTCCCTTTCTCTCTCTCTCAAATCAATACAAACATATTTAAAAAAACAACAACAGGCAAAACACTATCAAGTTGCTGTGTTTCTATATGCTTACTCTCAATTTCTGTGCTTATCTCCTTGGGGGCTCTAACCAGCAGTTGGAGGACCACAACTCAAATAGCAACGAGCTAATTAATGGTCTGTTCTTCCAACCAGGTTCCAACCATAGATGGTCTATAGCAGCGGTTCTCAACCTGTGGGTCGCGACCCCTTTGGGGGTCGAACGACCCTTTCACAGGGGTCACCTAAGACCATCGGAAAACACATATATAATTACATATTGTTTTGGTGATTAATCACTATGCTTTAATTATGTTCAATTTGTAACAATGAAATTGGGGGTTACCACAACATGAGGAACTGTATTAAAGGGTCGCGGCATTAGGAAGGTTGAGAACCACTGGTCTATAGAAATGTGCCCATGGAAGCCTGGGCAAAGGACTTCGTCTTTGAGCCTCAGTTTTCCCCACATGAAAAATGAAGGGCCCATCCTTGGGAGCATTTAAGCAATGCAGGCTTCCCAAGCTGGCAGAGGCCTTTGTGATGGCATGGCTGGGAGCCCCTGTGTCGCCCCGGGAAAGGCTGTGGGCTTCCTGGAAGAGGGGGCACTAACTTGTGAGGACGGGTCTATCAAGGATCAGGATGAGCCCAGGGAAGAAATTCCTTTGCATTTAGATGTCTAAATGCAAGGACAGATTTAAAGAGGGATGTGGGTGTATGAGGAGGTCTTGGGGTAATGGTGGGAGTGGGGGATATTTGTCAAAAACACAGAGTGGGCAAATGGCAGAGAAAAAGAAAAGAGTGGGTCTGGAGGACACTGGAATGGATGCATTTTCAGATAGAGACCTGGGTTTCTGGACTGTCCTGCCCAGAAGTTGGGCTCATTTGAATGGAAACAGGGCAGAACTGCCCTTGCAAACCTGTCTTAGGTCAGTGCATGGGAATGAATGAACAGGACACTTCCCTCACTGGACATGGCAGAGGACACCCAACTGCCCCACGGCCCACACATGCACTGTGCACGGCAGGAGACCTCAGACAACCAACCCTGGTTCTGGCTCACGCCAGCACCTGGAAAGCTCCCCATATCATATTTAAGCCAGAATGCAAAAACATTGAAAACAAACACATGGGTGCCAGAGTCAGCTTCATTCGGCGGCTTCATGCATGAATAATGGAGGGCGAGGAACCACTCACCACAGCAAACGTGGGCGGCGGCGGGGGCGCTGGAGGGGGAGGGACGGGCATCTTGGACAGTTAAGCTTTCAACAGTCTTGCTGATAAGTCTGTAAAAACAAAACACGGTCCTGTATTAGACTTCTTAGTAATAATCTGTCCTACTCTTCCCTCTCCCCGACCAAAGTGCCCGCTATTCACACAGGCCAGCTTTCATAAGAGGTGGGATTACCTTTGCTATGTTGCTAAGCTGTGACTGTTCTGGAAGGAGCCTACAGGGAGGTTTCTCAGCCTAAGTGCCTGAAGAGACTGGAAGCAAAATCCAGCACCTTGTGCTGCTCAATTCCACCACCCACCCAAGCAGGTGGGGGAATGGCCCATGAAGGGCCCCTGGGCCTGGGTAGCTGGAAGGTTATGATATTGCTGGAAATGTGTCCCGGCAAAGTCTCATGAACAAGTGGTTTCTCTTCCTTACTCATTTCCATGACAAAATCCTTTCTTTCTTTCTTTTTTTCTTGGAATAAATATAATTTCTTTTTTAATTTAAATTCTTTATTGTTTAAAGTATTACATAAGTCTCCTTTTCCCCCTATTGACCTCTCCCTGACCACCCCCACCCCCAGCACATGCCCTCACTCTCCCTCCCCGTCTGTGTCCATTGGTTATGCTCATATGCATGCATACAAGTCCTTTGCTTGATCTCTTACCCCCTCACCCCTGCCTTCCCTCATAGGTTGGACAGTCTGTTTGATGCTTCTATGGCTCTGGTTCTACTTTTGTTCATCAGTTTATGTTGTTCATTATATTCCACAAATGAGTGAGATCATGTGATATTTATCTTTCTCTGACTGGCTTATTTCGCTTAGCATAATGCTCTCCAGTTCCATCCATGCTGTTGCAAATGGTAAGAATTCCTTCTTTTTTACAGCAGTGTAGTATTCCATTGTGTAGTTTTCTAATCCACTTATCTGCTGATGGGCACTTAGGCTATTTCCAAATCTTAGCTATTGTAAATTGTGCTGCTATGAACATAGGGGTGCTTATATCCTTTCTGATTGGTGTTTCTGTTTTCTTGGGATATATTCCTAGAAGTGGGATTACTGGGTTAAGAGGAAGTTTAATTTTTGAGGAATCTCCATACTGTTTTCCACAGTGGCTGCACCAGTCTGCATTCCCACCAGCAGTGCAAGAGGGTTCCTTTTTCTCCGCATCCTCTCCAGCACTTGTTGTTTGTTTAGGATAGCCATTCTGACAGATGTGAGATGGTACCTCGTTGTTGTTTTGATTTGCATCTCTCAGATGATTAGTGACTTCGAGCATGTTTTCATATGTCTCTTGGCCTTTTGTATGTTTTCTTTCTAAAGATGTCTACTTAGGTCCTTTGCCCATACAAAATCCTTTCTTGCGCCCCCTCTTCCCCTCAGTCCTACACCTGCTGTGTTCTTTTCTGTGCAGATTCCTGACATTCACCTGGGTCTGGGTACACACTGTAGGAATGCAAAGATGAATCTGTTTCTGCTCTTGCCCTCATCGTTCTTAGTCTTCTGGGGAAAGGAGACAGTGGAAAGGTAAGGTAGGCAGGTAAGATGATGGGAGAGGAGGCCCCATTTCTATCTTTGTGCGCCTTGCCATTTCCCTGTAGGATCTAAGTGGAAAAAAAGAGGGGAAAAGGCTAGGGGCTTGCCTGGCCGATGTGGCTCAGTGGTTGAGTGTTGACTTATGAGCCAGGAGATCATAGTTCAATTCCCAGTCAGGGTACTTGCCCAGGTTGTGGGCTCGATACCCAGTAGGAGGCAGTCGATCAATGATTCTCATTATTGATGTTTCTATTCCTCTCTCCCTCCCCCTTCCTCTCTCTGAAATAAAAAAATATGTATATTAAAAAAACAACAATAAGGGCTTAAACCTATGATCCCAGAGCTGTTTATTAGAAATAAGCTTCATTGGGAAAGCTTTGTGCATAGTGTGATTGCCCTGGGGACAAAGGCAGGCCAGGCTCTGCGACCGAGCGGGAGAGTTTAGGGAAACCCTGGTGGGTAGCAGTGGTGAAGGGGGAAGCAGGCAGACATTGGGGACTGGAGAAACAGCAATGAGGAAACCCTAGGACAGGGATGGGCAACCCCTAGCAAGCGTGCCAAACATGGCACGCCAGTAACTTTTGCTGGCATGAGAAACCCTTTCTTATAATCTTCCATTTACAATTTTTTCTTAATATCAACTTTTTAATTTTTCAGATAAATTCAGTGTAGGTGCATCTTAGATAAATAAATAATTTTACATAACAAGTTATCTTAAAGACCACAGACATGGATTGACGAGAGGGGAAGAGCAATTTCTATGCCTCTGCCTTAACTCTCCCTGCCTTCCTAGATCCGACCAGTGTTTTGGTTTCATCCACATACGCTTGTGAATCTTTGTTTTCAGTGATGAATTTTGTTAAGTCTCGTGATAGGAGTAGCCAGACGGATGAAAGTAGTAGCTCGTGCATATCTCTGAAGGTCACGAAATATAAACCTGATGTAAAATCTCTGTCATCAGTGATGCAGCAGCAAAAGTTCCACTGATAATATTGAACAGTCATAAAGTTTTCTGTTGGACTATCAGTGTACATGTATACATTAAAAAAATGTATTTTTCATCATCATATACTGTGTTTTTGTTGCTCGAATGAATTTTATTGTTTCTTCAAGGTTCTTCACATACGTACACCTTAAGAGATATCAAGTAGGTGTAACATGTTCTCAAAAAATTAGGGTTGGCACGCAGAAGAATTTTGAGTCAGAGATTTTGCTGGTTTTGGCACGCACTCACAAAAAGGTTTCCCACCCCTGCCCTAGGAGTTACACAAGCCAAAATACCGTCTCCCTTTCCCTTCATCCTCGGAGTCCCACCCCTGGGTCTCATCCCACCAGGTCCCAGCCCCAGGAGCGCCTCACCCACTTTCTCACCCTAAGCAATTCCAACTTTTCCCACCCAGTCCTTGCAGCTGCTCTAAGTGGGGACCCCAACCAGCACCGTGGGCATCACCCAGAGCTGTTAGAATCATCAAATCTCTGCCCCTCTCCCCGCAGCTGAATCTGCTTCAGCATCTGAGAAGCCTGTTTGCAGAGTTTGGGCTTTAAACCAGTGGGCAGCCTGGGACCCTGACCACCTGAGTTAACACTATTTCTATGGAACATGTGTACCCAGTTTCAAACAGCAGAAGTATCTTTCTTCCATTCTCAATAGTCTCTTAATTGCAGAACACAATTTCTTAGAATTTAAATTGAGTTCAATTGCTAAATATTAATGTGGAAAACACACCTCGAAAAAACACATTCTATGATAGCAGTGACTTTTCAACTGGTGTGACGCAAGAATGTTAAAACACGCAACGCCTGACTACCTAATCAGGGGCACTGACCTCCTTTCCCTTCGATTGACAAATAAAAAATGACAACAGCCAACACAATAGCTATCCGGTGTGAATGCATCAAAATTATACCTATTTTTTTGTTAGGTCGGCAAAGAATAGAATATATTTTTGGCGTGCCACGGAATTTTAGTAATTGGTGTATGTGTACCAGGAGGAAAAAAGGTTGAAAGTCGCCATATTCAAGTGTTGCCGGGTGGCTTGCTTTCTGTGCACAGAAACGGGAGGAAAAGCTAAAAGGACGTGGCCGGACTTGTCAAAGCTGCGGGGAGGCAGGAATGAGGACAGCCGGGTAGTTCTGTTCCGAGCGGGCCCCCTAGAGAAGGAAATGAAAAACTCCACAGCAGCCAGAGCAGCGCTCATAGCTGACAGCCAGTTGGACCCAGGGCGCGTCACCGACATCGTCTCTAACTTTTACAGACATCGCAAACTGGCATGCTTCTGCTAGTTTTACAGAGGACAGAGATGTAGAGCAATTAAGCAACTCACTAAAAGACCCACACAATCCATTCAAATCAAGTCCTTCCAACCCTGCTCTTCTTAGATAAACATTTGTAAGCAGGTAAAGGGCTAGCTAACTAGTGCTACGGCTCACATGTAAACTAGGTCAGAATCTGTTTTTCAATAAGAGACTCAGACAAGGATTCTTTTAACATGTGTTCCTTAAATTGGTGTCAGAGCCCCCCCCCACCCCCAACTAGGCACCCTGGCGGGGGGGGGGGCTAATTGGGCAGTGTACTTGGACTGGTGCCCGTGTACAGGTGTCAGAGCCCCCCCCACTCCCGATCGCCCTGCTGGTCACCCCACAGATTGTTGGCTATCACAGATGCTGTGATACACCAATTACTAGTACACATACACCAATTACTAAAATTCCATGGCACGCCAAAAATATATTCTATTCTTTGCCGATCTAACAAAAAAATAGGTATAATTTTGATTCATTCACACTGGATAGCTATTGTGTTGGCTGTTGCCATTTTTTATTTGTCAATCGAAGGGAAAGGAGGTCAGTGTCCCTGACTAGATAGTCAGGCATTGCATGTTTTAATAGCCTATTGTTGGCTGGAAACTTTACTGATAATAGTCAATTAACACATATATATTACTAGAGGCCCGGTGCACAAAATTCATGCATGGGTAGGGTCCCTAGGCCTGGCCAGTGACCAGGGCCAATCTGTGGGGTGACCAGCAGGGTGATCGGGGGTAGGGGGGGGGGCTCAGACACCCGCCTTGGCTGGCCTGGGGGCAGCTCCTGCATTGAGTGTCTGCCCCCTGGTGGTCAGTGCACATCATTGTGACTGGTCGTTCCACCATTTGGTCAATTTGCATAATAGGTTTTTATTATATAGGATACATATTACATATTACATACGTATTCTTATAGTAAAGAAAGCTAGAGAAGTGAAAGTGTTATTAAGAAAGTCATAAGGAAGGGTAAATACATTTGCATTCAATAAGTACACTTATTGAAAAAAATCTTCATATAAGTGGACCTGTATAGTCCAAGCCTGGATTTGTTCAAGGGTCAACTGTAGTCTGTTCTCTCCGCTGCTGCTGCTTTGCCCCCCAATTTCTCACTCTCCTCCAGATAAACCCGTCCCTCTTCCTCCTCAATGCTGACAGATGATTACAGAGGCTGCCATGTCTCTGCTCCTTCCAAGCTGAACAGCTGCTTGTCTGGATTTGTCCAGGTCT